TATATATATATATATATATATGTGTGTGTGTGTGTGTGTGTATTAAATTAAAAATCTTGCATCTAAGAGCACATAATGCGGTCTAGTGATGGCAAAAAAACTCGTCCCGTCTCGCTGCCATATCTAACGCGGTCAACAAAAGAGTTAAATCACTTATTAGAACACTAATTTTACCTACTGCTTATCCAAAAGAAGTATTTCCAGTAACCATTGTAGTATTTACTTTCTACAAAACGAAGACAGTTGGGAGTGTTTTTATTTAATCATCCAACTATTACCAACCAACCTGCAACTGATTACCATTTGCCTAAAGCCAAACTTACTTTTAACAGATTAATCCGAATTCTGGTAAACACTTGACAACATTTCCACTTCGGACTAGCATTAAGATTGTCACATTCTTCACACCCAAGACTACACGTTGCTTCTATTCTTCATATCTAAGACTACACACCTTGTTCCTTCTAAAGCGCTACCTTAAGAATGTGTTCGATCAAGTCAAAACAGGTTCTGAACTTGATTGCAACAGTCTCCAATTAGAAATATTAGTTAATTTCCAAGGTTTTACCATATTTTTAAAGTTAAATTTTCTGTGTCTAGCCACCAGTGGTGTCGCTAAGCTCCAAAAGTAGTTCAAAATAACGTCACTTACTAATATACTTACCTTTATAGCAGTGTGGTAAGACAAATGAAATATTATGCTAATATATATTTTAAGACGACAAGAATATCATTACCAACAAAACAGTAACACAATTTATTCAGAAACATCAAACTCAATATAACGTCAAATGACCGTTAAAACACACGGTAGAAGTTTAAAAACCAAACAAGATTCAAAGACATGGTAGAACTAAGCAACAGAATAACAACAAACACACGAAACATATTATTAGACACTACTCCTTTTCTTCTTCTTCGTCGCTAAAACATTTCAGAATGGACCTCGGTGACCCACAATACGCAGTCTGAACAAACTTCTGGTAGACAATAGAACCGCCATATCCCAGCTGTTCATGGCATTCCTCATTGACAGAGTAGCCCTTCAAGTCTAGAAAATAAATGTTATCAAATAACATAACACCGTTGTCAACGTGCACAGCAATAGAAAACTCCTTTGGACGAAAACATGCTAAAACCCTTTCAATTAACATGCTCAGATTCACATCTTTCAAATTGTAACCAGCAGCTTCAAAGCTTGCATAACTAAACCCATCTTCTGGAGTAACATGAATAGTAGAAATTGCAGCTTCTTCGATGGAATTCATGGAATAACCACAAGGCTCAAATTCAAAATCACATATATCAGACTTAGGGAGGATCTTTCTTATACCAGATGTATTGGTCATCGAAGCTGCAGAGCTCGAGTCGCTCTTGTAAAATACAGAAGCCATCTCCCTGTCTAAACCAGTCATACACATCTCCAATGTGTAAACAGGGTTAAGAGATTCAATAGATCCAGCACAAACAGAATAAACGTGCCAATTTTGTTGTTTCTCAGAACTACCCATAACATACGCCTTGCTGCCAGAACCAAGTTCCCCAAAATAGCTATCTAGTACAGCAACTTCTTCCGAGAAGTTACGATGGGGATAAGACTGAGCTCCTGGGAAAATGAAGCTTCCACGAGTATATCTCACAGCTCGCAATGAAAGAGAGAGGAATCCAGCTAACTTCAATATAGGCGGTATCGATCTTAGCAGCTTTGTTGTCCCACAGGTTTTGATGATTAACTTGTAAGGATAAACAAAAAGACTCGACTCAGAGAGGACGTATGAATCAAGAGATTCATTCGAAAGCGAAGAAACAATGGTGCACTCGGCAGGTTCAAGAATCTCGTCCAATTGTGTTTTAGAAAGTGATCGAAGACCATTCCCTTCAGGATCAATGAAGATGCTAGGCTCAAAAAATGAGATTTCAAGCCTCTTTTCGAAACCTTCAAAACCAATTGCAGAGACGGACAAAGCCATTTCTACGAACAATAATTTTTTTGAGAAATGAAGAGAGCAAACAAGAAAGTAGACGAAGAATGAAGAAAAGGAGCTCGCGAACAAACAAAAATTTAAATCTACTATCACTACACTTTTAACACGTCAATAGACGTATCAGGAGACTAGTTGAGGAATATCAGGATGGTTTGCGAGCGCACTGCAATGGGAAAATAGAAATTTCAGCATCAGAAGTACTGGTTTTGTTAAAATTCTAGAGCCCATCAGTATCAGAAGCTTTCATAGTTGGAAAGCAAAAACTTACGTTAGAGTAAGCAGCAGATCTGAACTTCTTGATGCCACCGTTTGGTCGAACGTCTTCAATGATGTATCCGAGGGGTGCTTCGTATGATAAGGATTTACTACTAGACTTCTTCCCACCTTTAGACTCCATTAGATCATTAATTTCTTTGCTGCATAATCACCAATAGAGAATTATAAAGTCAGGACTAATTGTAAGATGAGGGTCAGTAAAATTATTGGGTAAAACCACAAAAAACTGCCCTGCAAATGTCAAAAGCTGCAAAGCATCAACACCATCCATGTATGTCTTCATAGGAATTGAAACAGATTCCGGAAAAGAAAGAATAAAATAATGGACTAACTATTCTTAATTTCAAAGAGATGAAACAAATCATAAGAAGTTCACTAACATTTCACTATCTATACATGAAGAAAATGGTTCTTCACATTTTTTTCATATAATTAGATGTATAATCCTACCAAAAGTTTTAGCCTGCCTAGACGTCAGACAACCAATCTCATTAATAATCATCAGTCAACCCAAAGTTGATAATCAATCCTATTAAATTCTCAAATCAACTGAATCAGAATTTTCTGAATGAATCAATGGAGTGCATAAATCAAACCACCATACAACTAACAATTTAAATGCAAATTTAGATTTTATAGCTTCCAGTGTCCTCAGACAAATCCATAATCAATATATAATCCTATCTTTCTTTACCAGAAATAAAGGTAAAAAAACTCACATCCACATAAACAAGAGCATAACATACATAGAGAGATATATACAAATTCATATTTATCAGATAAACATGACAGCCATGCGTGAAGAAACAAACCCTAATATATAACCAAAAGTCCTTTGTACGAATCTTATGTTCTTCCTCGAAGGCCAGGAATCCCCAGATTTAAACCCACTGTATATATTTACAATAAAATATACAAGAGATATTCAAACGAATTTCTGTAACATCAATATTTCAACGATTAAACAGCAAAAATCACAGATCTACACAAGTAATAACATATAATAAAGCGTTATTAAAAATGAAAAAGAACGTTGTACTTACAATATCAATATTTAAATTTTAAAACCAAATAATCCCTCAAGAATCAGAATCGGCCTTTAATAATCCCTACAAACAACAATACAACACAAATCAGACAATTCTGATCTCAATCATACATAATCAAAAGATAAAGTTTTACCTAAATTTAAAAACGCTTACAGAAATATGAATGCGGCTGATTTGAAGAAGAGAACTTAATTAAACCCTAGAAAAATAAATGCTCGTTTCTTGGTGTAATGGAGAAACTTTTCGTGAGAGATGGAAAAGGAACGGGAGGCCGAATTTATAGAGATGGGGATAATTATTTGCCACTGGTATGTTTTGATATTACGGTCTTACCCGTAAAATTTTAGTGGACTTTTTGTGCCAATCTTAAAAAAGAAAAAGAAAAAGATTGAATTCCAACCTTGAGGGTTCCACCGCCCTGCTCCTAGAGCTTTTTGAGGAAGGTAAATCGCTGAATGTTTTCCAATAGGCCAGGAAACAAGAATTGTATGTACATTGCGCATACAAGGAGTGCAGTTCCATATTTAAGGAATCGAACCCCCACACTGCGGCTGCCAACAAGGCGTTAGATAACCTCACTCTTATCCTTTGCACCACTAGACTATGCCCCCGAGACTTTTCGTGCCTATTTTTCCGATGGCATAGTTGAAGAGGGGAGGTTTTGGCACAGAGCACCTAACTTTATTCCAAAATTTCATTTCCGACTACTTGTGTTAAATTATTTATAAGTTCTTCCAAACAGAGCAATGTAAATTTTTGGAATGATATGCTCGCTTCATAAATTTTAATTAATATTTTATATTGGCCGTTACATTTTTTATTTTAAATTAATTTTAAAATTTAAATTTTCTTACAAATTGATAATTTGTTCGTATCCATTGATTGTATTAATTAGAAACCTAACATGACACTCTTCTTATTTAGCCTCTATTTGATTTAATTAAAAAATCAAATTTTTAGAACTAATTTCAACGAAACTGTTTCGTCCACGACTACATCTTCCTACCCTCATTTAGTAGATTGGGTTGCCAAATTTTAATTTTTTTTAAAAAAAATTTCCATCCATTAATTATTATTTTGGGTAGATTAATAATAGACCACGAGATTTGTATGCTAAACTTCGTTTTAATATACGTCAAATACATTGTGGGGTCTAGTAATTTCGGAAATGATTTGGCCAAACAAACACGATACTTTGTTATTGACCCCTTTCGTATGATGTCTGCATAAAAATATTTACGGACGTTCAACAATTATTATCTGTGATCTGTATACGTTTAAAAATTTTTTTTTTTTTAATTATATATCATTTTACATATCGATTCTATAATAAGGGCAAAAATGTATACCAAAAGAAGAATGAAAAAGGACAAAAACATCTATGGTTTTATGAATAAGATTAAAATTTTTGTGGGACCTATTTAGTACTCGACGAGACACAATAGTAAGATGTTCAATTTTTTGTTGGGTTGAAAAATAATGAGTAAAGAAAAAGCCAAAAGCAGGACAGAGGCCTATGGGGTATTGAGCTGTCTTTTTTGTGTTTTTACTTCATTGTTTGAGAGGTCGGCCTTGTACATCGACCTTTTCAACCTAAACAAGAAAGATGCTTTGATTCTCTATGCATTTCTTTATATTATCAAGTTTCAATAATTTGTGCACTCATTCATGTATTTTTTGGCAACAAGATCATGATGGGGTGCTTTTCTCCTATGATTTGATCTTTGGTGGAAAAGAAAAGCAAAGGAAAGGAAAGACACAAGTGGACATTTTAACATTACTAATTTATAAAGGTTAAATCTCAATTTTGAGGGCCCCGTCCTGCCTCGTCCGGTCCGATCCGTCCCTTCTCTGAAATATCGTGAGGGAAGTAAATCGCGAGATGTGTCCTAATAGAACAGGAAATAAGAGATTGCCCGTATACTGGTGCCCACAAAGAGTACAATTTCATATCTTAGAAATCGAACCCTCACACTACGCCTGCTAGCAAGGCTAAGATTACGTCACTCCTACCCTTTGCACCACTGACTTATGTCCCGAGGGGCTTACCAATTCATAGTTTGTACTCTATGCCTCTCTTACAATAAACCTCTTTTGAGCCCTTATTTGATTTTTATTCTTCTAAAATTTTGTTTTTTCAAAACTCATTTTTAATCATATATTGTTCAATAAAATAATATTACACGTAAATTAAAAAAATTTCTTTAATTTTTAACAGCACATTTTTCATCAATCTATTATTCAAAATACATTATTTTCCTCAAAATGGGGATTAAACAAGGGCTAAATCTTCAATCACATTCTCATAATTTCTTAACCTCCTCTCTGTCTCTCTCTCTCTCTCTCTCTCTAAATCTGCCGTTGTTAATTGGTTTGTTGAACTGAAGAAAATCTTTATAAAATGGCAGCTAAGCGGTTCTTTGATGAAGATGAAGATCAGCCAAACCAAAAAAAGGATGAAAACTAAACATTCTTTGACGTGTAAAAAAAAATGAAAAAAGACAAACATGGTGCTGCCACACAACAGCAACGTGCATGGATTCTGTCAAATTAAAGACTGTACATGAGGCTTAATTCAAAACTGAATGTGTACGATTTGAGGTTGGACTGCAATAAATGTAAATCGATGATCACATGGTGATCATGTTTTTGGAGAGTGAAAGTTATAGGTAGAGGAGGACACAGAGGGATATTTAATGCAAGCACATAAAATGTGGTAATCATTTTATTTTAGAAAAAGTAAGGCAAGAGGAAAACAGAGGATTATAGAGGCGAAGAAAAAATACTTCGTTGATGAATGGACATAAATTGACTTACCAACAACAAATGAATTATAGGACTAAACTTACATGTGCTTTGAACTACCAAGAAATTTTTAATGATAACGTGTTATGAAACTGTTGACACATAAAAATTTAGCCCAAATCAAACGGTCCAAGGAATGAAGCCCAATTGGAGAATTCTCAAATCAGATAGCCCAAAGAACGAAACCCAATCAAACAAATCAAAACGAAGGCCCAAATAGGGAGGCCCAAGAACGCGGTAACGCCATCGTCCAAGTTTGCAAGTCGCCCAGAATCTGAGCGAATGGAGTGCCATACAGTCTCCCAGAGCTGTTACTCTATTCTCGCCCAAACCTTCAAGTCGCCCAAGGTCTTAACAAATATAAAGCGTTGTGGTTATCAAGAAGTGCAGTTATCAAAGCAGTTATTAATGCAACCCTATCACGTTCCACGATTCAAGGAATTCAATCGAAAGCGGTTGAACGACGAAGAGTGATGGCAGCAGTTAAAAAAGGCAGTTTTCATGACAAGTTGGCCATTACGAGGAAAATTGGCAGTTATAGGACAATCAAGCAGTTTTTAGGCGGTTGATCACAAAGAGATCGTCCATGAAGTATAAAAGGGAGAAAAGACAGAACAAAAGACCGAATCAAAAACTCTCGAACAGAAAACATGTAATTTTAATTTCCTTAGCTTAGATTTAAACACTTTTTTCAGTAACTCGTGTGCTTGCGCCCCTTGGAGGCACTTTGTTTTTAATTTCCAATTGTAAAGTCATCGCCAATAAAAGAACACCCATTTTTGGGACTTTGTCTCAAGAGGTTTGTCCCTTACACAATCGTCTGATCCCTTTTAATTGTTAGCGACTAACCCGCGTGAAACAATTTGGCACGCCCAGTGGGACAGTGGTGTTTGGTGTTGAAAGTACAAAAGGTGAAACAATATGCAGATAATGTCCTAAACAATGGACAGAATACCCCACGTGTTAATGAGAGAATAGATGTTCAGGCTAATGGTAATGGCCCTAATCATGGTAATTTTGTTGCCAATCAAGGACCAAACATCAGGCCTCATGCAAATCAACCGATTAACCAACCTGTAGGAATTTCATATGACCCCAACGTCATGTTGAAGAATCAAATTATGGAAATCGTACAGGATCAGATGGCTTTTGGGGTGCGTCCCGTCATTAGGCCGAGTTACACAAAGTCATACCCTGATTGGGAAGACCAAGCATACCCAGGCCTAGAGGGTATAAGGTGCCAGAATTCTCACTGTTTACCGGTTTAGGAGAAGTGTCTACTCTAGAACACATAGGGCGATTC